TGGTCATGTTTCGGAAGGACTCGGTCCTCAACATACTCAGTAAGTAACCAGTCTTCAGGTACCTGGGAGCTATTTAACAGTGACAGAAAAGTTGTTCTGGGCATAGAACATTGGGAGGTAGAACGCTGTGTCTCCTGATCTCTGTGCTTACTCTGTAGCATCAAGGGTCCTTACCCTCACCTCTCTAGCCCTTGGGTTGCAGGGAATATGACAGTTCTCAGAGATGGTAGCAGTGGTATTGTCTGGGAAGAGAAAGGATCTAGATTTTTAGCTCCATCTGTTGGGGTTCTGCTAGTGAGTGTATCAACCATGTGTATGTTTGAGAGAGACAGCAGGCAGACAGGAGTTTCTTCCATCTCTTCTAGTTCAGAGCCTAGACTGGGAAACCTTTGAGCAGTACTGTGCCTGGCAGCTCTTCCTGGCCCATAACATCCCCTTGGAGACCATTATCCCCATCCTGCAGCACCTCAAATACAAGGGTGAGTAGGACCGGGCCACAGGCTAGAGGAAGGTGAGCCTTCTCTAGACTGCTGAGCGAGGCACTGGTTCTTCCTGGCTCCTGGAACAAGGCTGTCTTCTGTCCTGGTGGTTGGCTGGGGTAGGAGAGGTGCTCACTGCTCGTGTTAACTCCTGAAGTGATACGTTCCCTGAACAACCTCTCCTCCCCACAGAGCACCCAGAGGCCCTGTCCTGTCTCCTGCTTCAGCTGCGAAGAGAGAAGTAAGTTCCAAACCAGGTGGCTCCGGGTCCCAGCATGCCTTTGGTCCTGCTTTCCTGTCATGGCCGTCCACCTATCCCCTGCCCTCTTCCTATCCCTACCCTCCTCTGTATGACTTAGAAACAAGCAGCTCACTGCACTGCCCTCAGAGGTGGGAGGTCGGGACTGACACACCTGTTTTCTTCCCTGCACTCCTCAGACTGGTACAGGTTCATTAAAAGGGAAGGATTAGGGGCAAGGGACCACACCCGCCCTCACCCCCCTAACAGAAGAGCCAGCTGGAGCCATCGCATTGCTTGACAGAGGTGTAGTGGCAGAGGCAGAAGGCCCATTGTATCTTAGCTGCACCACTGGCAGCTCCTTGGACAAATGAGGCAACAGTCAAGTGCCTCTTCCTATGGTTTTGCTTTTGTCTGTTTTTGTTTTGGTTTGTTTTTGAGACAGGGTTCTCGTAATTTTGTGGCCAGAGGTCACTCAGCTGCTGATTCTTCTGCCCCTTTTTGGGCATTACAGCCTTCTTGTCTTAATCTTGTCTTGCCTGAAACCCTAGAGAAAGTGGTGATATAGCCTCTCATCTCCCTCAGGCTGGATGCTAAGCTGGCCTAAGGCTATAGCAGAGCGGGGCTAAAGGGCATATTAAGCATGCTGTACCCCTTTGCTTCTTGGGACTTCTCCCACCTGCTCTGGGGAGAGTCAGGCCTCATTCTCAGCATACCTCGTGTCTCCTACCAGCACAGAAGTGGGGCAGTCTCACTTCTCATGTAGCTTCTGCAGAGAATGATACCAGGAATTCCTTGGCCCAAAGAAAAGGGGGAGAGGGATGTGAGAGTAGGAAGCCACAGGGGTAAGGAGGCTGAGGTTTGGAGAGAGATGTAGCCGTTCTCGAGGTCAGGCAGCTCCGTATACATGACACCAGCTTGCTTTCCTTCACAGGCCCAGTGAGGAAATGGTGAAGATGGTGCTGAGCAGGCCCTGCCATCCCGACGACCAGTTCACCACCAGCATCCTGAGGCACTGGTGCATGAAGCACGATGAGCTGCTGGCAGAGCACATAAAGGCCCTGCTCATCAAGAACAACAGCCTTCCCCGCAAAAGGCAGAGGTAGCGCTGGCACTGTCCCTGCCTCCTGTGCGCCCCAGTGACTGCTGCCCCGGGTGGTGGGCTGCTGGTGCTATACCAGCCGGGTTTGTGGGTGACATCTAATACAGGACCACACTCCCTGAGCCCTCCCTAGCCCTGGGTACTTTAGGACTGCCTCTTACATAGAGAGGGACCCCAGTGGAGTGGGGAGTATTTGATTCTCTGCCTCCCCATACAGCCTCAGGAGCTCTAGCAGCAAGCTGGCCCAGCTGACCCTGGAGCAGATCTTGGAGCACCTGGACAACCTGAGACTCAATCTCGCCAATACCAAGCAGAACTGTATGCCGCCTCCCGTCCTGCTCCCTTTTCTTTGGCCATTTGGGGGGGCGGTGCTGCCCTGGTTCAAATCCCCTCCTTCCAGTCAGGGGACAAGGATGAGATACCAAGACCACTGTTCAAACCTGCAGAAGAAAGGCTTTTGGTGCTGTGTAGTAAGCCTCCTGACATTAACTGAGCTTCCCTGTCTCCCTTCCTTAGTTTTTAGCCAGACACCAATCCTCCAGGCGCTGCAGCATGTCCAGGCAAGCTGTGACGAAGCCCACAAGATGAAGTGAGCTTCCTTCTACCTGGGCTGTGGAAAGTGGTGGGGAGGAGAGGTCTCCTGGGGTCGAGAAACAGACTGGGTTCGGTGCTGAGAACATGGTGAGGGGCCTTGAGTGGGCTGCTCATCTCAGGAAGCATGTTCCTCTTAGGTTCAGCGACCTCTTCTCCCTGGCGGAGGAATACGAGGACTCTTCCACTAAGCCACCCAAGAGCCGGAGGAAGGCAGCCCTGTCCAGCCCTCGAAGTCGAAAGAATGCCGCACAGCCCCCCAATGCTGAAGAAGAGTCGGGCTCCAGCAGTGCCTCAGTGAGTCCCGCAGCCAGTGTGCAGGAGGAGGGGAGTGATGGGCACGGGTGAGGTGTGGCCAGCCACTGCCCAGGCTGGTCATTGCCTTCTGCCCCTCATTTCTTCCAGGAGGAAGAAGATACGAAGCCCAAGCCCACCAAACGGAAACGAAAAGGTTCCTCTGCCGTGGGTTCTGACAGTGACTGAGGCCTGGGGTTCCCACCTCGCCCCAGCCTGAGAGATGCAAGGGTATACCCTTCCTAGCCCCCTCACTTGGGGGAGGATCGAGCTGCTTCCTGTGGCCCAGCCTGAGAAACTTCCCTGCAGCCCCACCCTTCCTCCTCTCCGGGCCTCCAGCTCTTTTCATCCCCTCTTCACTGCTGCTCCACTGGTAGGTTTTCACAGCAGCCAGAGGCTGCAAAACCAGATCATGGCGGAAGTCCTTAGCCTTTGGCTCCTCCCCCAGTCTCCAAAGAGCCGTTTGGACAGAGAAGGGAGCAATCAAGAGGCTGCTGGACAGAGAAGCTAGGCCGACAGAAGTGCGACGTGAATGGTGTCCTGCTTCCGTTCAGTCTGCATTTGTTCTGAACAGACTTGTAGTCTGTGGATGGTGGTCTGTACACCAGTGTGACGTGGGCAGTGCCCATCTGGACAGATGCCACAGCCATCAGAAAAGAACCCGATGACAGCGCAAGAGCCTCTTGCTGCACCTAGGATGCTTGGGTTGGCCCATCATTGGCACTTCAAGCTGAGCCAGAGCGCAGGGGAGTCCCAGAGGCAAGGTCCTCTCAGAACTGTCAAATGGCCTGATTTCTGTGGTTCTGTTTTTGCTTTTTCTTTTGGCAAAGATAATCGAGTTTTAAAATTGTTTTTAAGTGATAATGAAGCAAGCCAGAGCATCTTTTGAGCCTGTGTTATCTGTGTTCAGCTGTGGTAGGTGCCTCTGTTTAATTTGATGCCTCTACTTGTGCCTTCCCCCTCCCCCAACAAAATGTCTACAAGAGGGACTTGGCTGCCCTTCCACTAAAAGTGTGAGTCAGGCATCTGACCTTTCCACTCAGAAGCTGATGCTGGCACCAACTCCCTGCAGGATGGCCTTGCCTATTGCTTCTCAGGAACCTCATCTTTTGGAGGGTGCAGGGGAGATGGTTCAGTAGATCCACACTTGGCATCCAAGCGTGAGGACCAGAGTTCCGGCCCCAGAACTCATGTCAATGCTAGGTGGATGTGGTAGCCTGCCCGTGATCACAAAGCTCAGAGGGCAGTAAGGTGGCTAGCCAGCTACACTCAGTGTTGGTGAGTTCTGGGAGGATCCTGGTCCTCCCCACCCACAAATACACATGCGATCACATGCAAACATGCACGTACTCCACACATTCCATTCCAGATTGTCCAAAAGCTAGTATTTGTCTCCGCTTTGTTAGGTGTGTGCTTTCTAAGCAAGCAGGGAAGGATGCTCCACGCTGAGTTTTGAAGGAGAGAGGACCAAAGTTCTAATACCAGGGATAGGAGACGCTCCTCCTGGTCTGACCACTGATGTCACCATGTAGCAGCAGAGAATCCCAGGCAGGCCGTGCTTCCGGTGGAGGGGTGTTCAGACAGTTCAGTGCATATGCTTCCTTGGTTCAGCCTAGACTCCAGAGCGTCCGTGCTCCTTTAAAGCCACTACTCCTTTTTAGACTCTTAACCACCAGAGGCCTCTTTCTTCCTCCTCCCATCCCCGGTTTCCACTGCACCCATTAAAACCAAACCAGGATGGGAAGCATTTGCTGGCTGATCCCAATTATTGTATCCTTGCCTAAAATGGAGGGCCTCCTTCCAAAACTCTGGCAGTCTGGCCTCCACCTTTCCCCTACTTAACTCTCAGGCCCCCACCCATTCCCTGGGGTTGCTACTGCTGCTGGTAGCTGAACATCCTGCCTGGGCTTGCAGAACTGAACGGGCCAGGGTCCAAATTATTTAGTCTCCTTGGAAAGAGAGCAATGGTACCATCCCATCACGGGTGATAACCACCAAGGGAAAGAATGACAGAGGCGCCCTGGCTCCTGAACCAGGACTCCCTCAGCCAGCCAGTAGCTTAGATGGCCCTGAAAATCCCTGCTCTGGGGTTGAGGGTAGGTACCACTTCAGCCGCAACAGGCTGCTGGCCACCAGCAGTCAAATTCCACAGCGAGTGCGCCTAGGGCGGGGCCTGGGCTGTGGGGAGGGCAGAGCCGCCCCCCACTCCTGGCTCCCGCGCCACACCACAGAAGCTGGGTGGGAAGGGCGGGTGCCAGCGCACGCGCGCCACGCTCCGGGAGACAGAATTCTCGGGAGCCCGACCCAGATCAGCGTTTCAGGAGAGACCACCCGGAGTGTATGTGAGCTCCAGGAGCAGACCAGAGGAAGAGGGCACCATGGCGGCTCTCCTATTGCTGCTGCCCCTACTCTTACTGCTGCCTCTGCTGCTGAAGTTGGACCTCTGGCCTCAGCTGCGCTGGCTGCCAGCAGACCTGGCCTTCACAGTGCGCGCCCTCCGCTGCAAAAGGGCCCTTCGAGATCGCGCGCTGGCCGCAGCGGCTGCAGACCCGGAGAGCCCCGAGGGCGGCTGCAGCCTGGCCTGGCGCCTCGCGCACCTGGCCCGGGAGCGCCCGATGCACACTTTCCTCATTCACGGAGCTCAGCGCTTCAGCTACGCGGACGCCGAGCGCGAGAGCAACCGGGCTGCTCGCGCTTTCCTGCGCGCACGCCGCTGGGCCGGGGGCCGAGGCGACTCGGACACCCGTAGCACCAAGGAAGGCGCAGGCGCGGCGCCTGTGGCCGGAGACCAGGAGACTGGAGGAGAGACGACCGCACCCCCTCTGGCACCCAGGGCGACTGTGGCGCTGCTCCTCCCCGCGGGGCCGGAATTCCTATGGCTTTGGTTCGGACTGGCCAAAGCCGGCCTGCGCACGGCCTTTGTGCCCACCGCCCTCCGCCGAGGGCCCCTGCTGCATTGCCTCCGCAGCTGCCGAGCAAGCGCGCTCGTGCTGGCGTCAGGTAGGACTGGGGAGCCAGAGGGGGCGGGTCTGGTCCCGGACCGAGTTCCCGAAGTGAGTGAGAAAAAGAGGCCCCTGGTCTGGGAAGGGATGGTGCTGAATCCAAAGGATTCCCAGGCCGTCGGATTACAGGTCCCAGGCGCAACATGGGTGGGATACCCATAGTGCCACCCTTACCCTAGAGGGACAGAGAGTAAGCCAACGGTGCTGGTGCTGAAGAGTTTAGCGTAGCTGGAGAGCCATGATGCTCGATCTGCCCATCCTTGTAGAGTTCCTGGAGTCCCTGGAGCCGGATCTGCCCGCCCTGAGAGCCATGGGGCTCCACCTGTGGGCGACCGGCCCCGAAGCTCATCTTGCTGGAATCAGCAATTTGCTGTCCGAGGCTGCAGCCCAAGTGGATGAGCCAGTGCCTGGGTACCTCTCTGCCCCCCAGAGCATGATGGACACCTGCCTGTACATCTTCACCTCTGGGACTACTGGTGAGATGCCGAGACAGAGCTGGGAACGTCTAGGGAGAGGACTTTCAGGTCACTCTGGCCACCATCCCAGGCAGTTTCGCTCCTTCCACTCCCAAACCACCCACTTTTCCAGGACATGGGACTCCTCAGCTGACTGTGCCCCTCTTTGCCACCCTTCAGGCCTGCCCAAGGCTGCTCGCATCAGTCACCTGAAGGTCCTGCAATGCCAGGGGTTCTACCAGCTGTGTGGTGTTCACCAGAAGGATGTGATCTACCTCGCGCTCCCACTGTACCACATGTCTGGCTCCCTGCTGGGCATCGTGGGCTGCTTGGGCATTGGTCAGTCTCCCTCACATATTCCTCTAGCACAGGGATCCCCAACCTTCCTAATGCTGTGCCCTTTAATACAGTTCCGCCTGTCGTGGTGACCCCTCAGCCATAAAATGATTTCATTGCTACTTCATAACTGTAATGTCGCTACTGTTATGAATCATGATGTAAACATCTGGGATGCGACCTCACTGGCTGAGAGCCACTCTTCAGCAAGTGCAGAAGGACCTCCTATGCCTGCCTTGCCTGGAGGAACTCCTGGTGGATGGCAGGAAACGTTATCCACTCGGCCACAGGCTGAGCCAGTATGGAGGATCCAGACTTCAGGGAGGACAAAGAGAAGGGCTGTGTCAGTCCCTAAGGAGTGTTAGCCTCACCAGACACAAGTGGGGAAAGATTCACCCACTAGCCTGTCCTGGAACTAGCTCTCGTAGACCAGGCTGGCCTCGAACTCACAAAGATCTGCCTGCCTCTGCCTCCCGAGTGCACCACCACTGCCCGGCTCATCCACCGTTCTTAAGGCAGGTCCTTCCCTGGGAGCAGAGGTGCTTAGGGTCATCTCTTGACCTTCTCTCCCTTTTCTGGCAGGTGCCACGATGGTACTCAAGCCCAGGTTCTCAGCTAGCCAGTTCTGGGAAGATTGCCAGAAGCACGGTGTGACAGTATTCCAGTACATTGGGGAGTTGTGCCGATACCTCGTCAACCAGCCCCCGGTGAGTAGGCACAGAGCAGGCCAGACAGCTGGGGACGCTGAGCCTGACTTCTGGAAACTGGAGAGAGGAAGCTAGGAGAAGAAATAGCACCGTGCCAGTAGCCCACAGTTGAACACGCCTTCTGACACCTAGGGAGAGAGAGAGCACAGTAGAGGGAGGGACAGAGCTTCACTCTGGGGACCTGGAAGCTTGAAGCTGCTGTCCTGTTTCTCTCACTCATCCCAGAGCCAGGCAGAACGTGGCCACAAGGTCCGGCTGGCAGTGGGCAGTGGGCTGCGCCCGGACACCTGGGAGCGTTTCGTGCGGCGCTTTGGGCCTCTGCAGATCCTGGAGACATATGGAATGACAGAGGGCAACGTGGCTACTTTCAACTACACGGGACAACAGGGTGCCGTGGGGCGCGCGTCCTGGCTGTACAAGGTGAGAGGCAGAAAGGACATGAGAACCCTCGGAGCAGCAGGGGAAGTGAGAAGGAAGGCTCCTGAAGCTGGTGGCCCAGCGTGGCTCTCCTCTTCCCCAGCACCTCTTCCCCTTCTCCTTGATTCGATACGATGTCCTGACAGGGGAGCCTGTTCGGAATGCCCAGGGGCGTTGTGTGGCCACAGCTCCAGGTTTGTACTTGGGTTGGGGTGAATCTGGCAGGCAAGGTTGGACTTGGCAGCTGAAGCGGGGTGGGGCCTGGAGGTCTGGGTGACATTGGGTAACTCACTCCTGACCCCAGAATTTTTCCAGGTGAGCCAGGGCTATTGGTGGCCCCGGTGAGCCAGCAGTCCCCTTTTCTGGGCTACGCTGGGGCTCCAGAACTGGCCCAGGGGAAGCTGCTGAAGGATGTCTTCTGGCCTGGGGACGTTTTCTTTAATACTGGGGACCTCTTGGTCTGTGATAAGCAAGGCTTTCTTCATTTCCATGATCGTACGGGAGACACCTTCAGGTATCTGTAACTTTCCAGTCGACTTCCAAACTCAGTGATTCAGACCTCAGAAAGCCAGCGCTATGCCCTCCCACCTCACCCCACGTCCAGCCCTACCTCTTTCTCAGACTTGGCAGCAGCCTTCTTCCCTGGCCTCTTTCTCTCCTCAGCAGAATTCTAGGCCCTTAACCCTTCTCCGCGCGTCTCTGTCTTCAACAGGTGGAAGGGGGAGAATGTGGCCACTACGGAAGTGGCGGAAGTCTTGGAGGCCTTGAACTTCCTGCAGGAGGTGAACGTCTATGGAGTCAGTGTGCCAGGTACCCAGCGTGGGGGGCGGGGAGTGCCAGGTACCCAGCGTGGGGGGCGGGGAGTGCCAGGTACCCAGCGTGGGGGGCGGGGAGTGCCAGGTACCCAGCGTGGGGGGCGGGGAGTGCCAGGTACCCAGCGTGGGGGGCGGGGAGTGCCAGGTGCTCAGCGTGCGGGGCGGGGAGGACCCTGAACACCTCACACAGCCCTGCTCGGGCACAGGTTCTAGAAGGGCTTCCGTGTCTCCCACCCACCAGGGCACGAAGGCAGGGCTGGCATGGCAGCCTTGGCCCTGCGACCCCCACAGGCTTTGGACCTTGTTCAGCTGTACACCCACGTTTCTGAGAACTTACCACCGTATGCGCGACCCCGATTCCTCAGGCTCCAGGTAACCAGCCACTCCTGCCCCAACCCCCAGCGCGTCTGCCACTGTTAGTGGTTCTGCTTTATATCTCAACTCTTGCTGTTTTCTTTCTTCTTTTTGTTTGTTTATTGATTTTATTGAACTATATATTTTTCTCTGCTCATCTCCCTTTCTATCCTCCCCTATGATCCCCACACTCACAACTTACTCAGGAGAACTTGTCTTTTTTTTTTTTTAATATTTATTTATTTATTATGTATACAATGTTCTGTCTGTGTGTATGTCTGCAGGCCAGAAGAGGGCATCAGACCTTATTACAGATGGTTGTGAGCCACCATGTGGTTGCTGGGAATTGAACTCAGGACCTTTGGAAGAGCAGGCAATGCTCTTAACCACTGAGCCATCTCTCCAGCCCGAGAACTTGTCTTTTTAAACCCCACAAAGGAATCCCAGGCAGGACACTCCAGGAAGAGAAAGGAAAGGACACTTGCCCCTTGCTAGACTTGCTTCTCCTCCCCCTCCCTTTTGCTCTCGTGTGTGTGTGTGTGTGTGTGTGTGTGTGTGTGTGTGTGTACGCTGCTTTGGCTGCTATCCTCGGGGTCCCAGCCACCTATTGGCTTGCATGCTTGCCAGTTAGGGTAGATTGACCAGTGAATCCCAGAGGGGCTCCCGCCCGCCCCACCTTCTCCCAGCGTTCTTCACGGGTCCTGTTGACTGACTTCAGGTCTTCCTTCATGCTTTGCTGACTGGGCTGGCTCCCTTCAGCCCCTCCTTCAGGCTTCTCACTTCTTTCTCTCTGGCCCTCACCTTACTATGTGTGTATGTGTTCAGCATGCCCACAAGTCTGTGCCCTTCTGGCCGGCAGCAGGCCTGCACTAAATGGACAAAGTACTTTCCTCCAGCTCTCTTTGAAAACCCCCTTCTCTCCCCAGGAGTCTCTGGCCACTACCGAGACCTTCAAACAGCAGAAGGTTCGGATGGCGAATGAGGGCTTTGACCCCAGCGCGCTGCCAGACCCTCTTTATGTCCTAGACCAGGAAGTGGGTGCCTACCTGCCCCTCACACCTGCCCGCTACAATGCCCTCCTCTCTGGAGACCTTAGAATCTGAGACCTTCCACTTAAGGGAGGGCTCTGGGGGTACAGCCACCATGACTGTACCAGGGGTTTGGGGATCTTTTGTATATGGAGTGATTATCATTTTGTAATAAACAGCTGGAGCTTATCTGGTTCATCTTCCTGGTCGGTGGGGCTGCTTTCCCGTGGGGCCCCAGGCTCCGCATTCCTGTCCTGACCTTATGTGACCCTGAGCTGTGGCTGAGCCTTTCTGATGATCACATCTGACCCTGCTGGGTCCTGGAGAAGCCCTGGTGGCTGATGTTTGTGCTCTTGATTGTTCATTTACACTGCTGTCTCAAGAGCTGTAGGATTCCAGAGGATTGAATGGGATGGCAGAAGCAAATAGAGAAACACAGCCTCCCTATACCCCGCTCCCCTACCACCCCACTCCTGCTGACCCCACCACAGCCTGAGGAAGTCTCAACCATGGAAAACAAATGTGGGCAGGGGTGGGGAACACTGAGATACAGTGATCTAGAGAAATCAGACAGGGAGGGAGCCCTCAGCCTAAGACCACCAGTCAGACTTCCAGAAGGAGAGTTGACTTCCACAGCCCCTTAGGGTGGGGCTCGAGAAACTGCAGGCAGGCAGGGATGAGGCGGGGTGGGAAGCTGAGAGGGCTCCTTTCATCTCCTGAAGGAAGAGTCCAGAAAGTTCACCATCTGGGAAGGTTAAGTGGTGAAACTCCTGTCTCCCAGGAACCAAGGTGCCTCTAGTTTTCCTTCTCCTGACTCCGCCCCCCACCATGAGTGGTCGGAGGCTGGGGACTCAGTGGCAGAGAGCCATGAGAACCAAACCCCTCTCTGGCCTTGGTGGGCACCAAGCTTGTGTGCATGTTGTACACACACATACATGAAGACGTGCACAAACACACGACACGCCTCACCTCTAAAGCCTGGACCCCTACTACCAGCCCTCTTGCCAAAGCCTGCATCCCCCGCTGGGTCCACCAGCAAGCTCGGTTCAGCCTTCCTGACGGCAGAGGCGAGGCAACATCCACACACATTAGGAACTTTCCCAGTCTGCCCCCAGAAAGAGCACAGGTTGAGGTAAACCTGGCTGGGGAGGTAGGCAGATGTGCCCACTGGCTCCTCTAAGACAACTCTGCCACCTCTGCCCAGGTCTTCCACCTCCTCCCTTGGGGAATCACCACTGACTGCTAGGGCAGCTGCTAGCAACGTGAGAGAGGCTGAAATGCATGCGGTCCAAAGTGGGACCTGCTCTAGCTATGCACACGGCACATGGTACATGAGAAACCTGCTCTAGCTATGCACACGGCACATGAGAAACCTGCTCTAGCTATGCACACGGCACATGAGAAACCTGCTCTAGCTATGCACACGGCACATGAGAAACCTGCTCTAGCTATGCACACGGCACATGCACATGAGAAACCTGCGCTAGCTATGCACATGGCACATGAGAAACCTGCTCTAGCTATGCACACGGCACATGCACATGAGAAACCTGCTCTAGCTATGCACACGGCACATGAGAAACCTGCTCTAGCTACGCACACAGAACATGCCACATGAGAAAACTGGGACGCAGATTCATTAATAACTGTTTTAGAGTCAAGTAAAGTGATATTCACTTGGGAGAATTACTTGAGACTAGGGGTTTGAGGCCAGCATGGGAAACAGCAGAAACCATCTCAAAAACAATATGGGGACGGAGATGTAGCCCAGTCAGTAGAATGCTTGCCTCGCCTTCAGGAAGCCCAGGGATTGATGCTCAGCACCACATAAAACCATAAAGCCTGGTGTGGTAGCACATGCCTGTAATCCCAGGATCCCTGCCTGCACAGTGAGCTCGAGTCCAGCTTATAAAACCCTTCTCCAAAAAATAAACAAATGTTTTCTTTTCTTTCTTTCTTTTCTTTTCTTTTTTTTTTTTTTGAGACAGGGTTTCTCTGTGGCTTTGGAGCCTGTCCTGGAACTAGCTCTTGTAGACCAGACTGGTCTCGAACTCACAGAGATCTGCCTGCCTCTGTCTCCTGAGTGCTGGGATTAAAGGCGTGCGCCGCCACCACCCAGTTTAAATAGAATGTTTTAGCGTTATATATTGCTTACATGAGGAGAGACAATCTTGACTATGTGTAGTTAAAATCTTAGGGGGCTGGAGAGATGGCTCAGTGGTTAAGAGCATTGCCTGCTCTTCCAAAAGTCCTGAGTTCAATTCCCAGCAACCACATGGTGGCTCACAACCATCTGTAATGGGGTCTGGTGCCCTCTTCTGGCCTGCAGACATACACACAGACAGAATATTGTATACATAACAAATAAATAAATAAATATTAAAAAAGAAGTTGGCTAAGTTACTCAATGATTATTGTTTAAAATCTTAATATTGTTTTGTTAAAGCGTTGCTATTTTAGAATTATATGGCTCACTTGCTCCCTCTCAATCTTCCAAATCAATTATTTAGTGTGTCTCCTGGTTTTCTCGTTATGGCTCACACACTTCTACTGAACAATGCCGGTCGAAACGCTGACCTCACTTCTCTCGGTAGTAAAACATCAGCTGGGGGTGCAGGATGCCTGCGCTTACCCACAGACTGCCAGAAAGGGGAGTCTGTACAGAAGGCTGACCCAGGGGTGGCCTCCCGGAGGCTTGGGGTGCAGGCCTCACTGTTTTACAGTGGGAGAGACCTTCCAACAGACTCTTTCCAGTAGCCCAGGCCGGCCTTGAACCTCCCCTGCCTCAGGCTGATTTAATTCAAAAGAATTAGGTTTTCCTACTAGAGCAAAAAAACAAAAAAAGTTGAAACAAAGTTAAACAGGATTATGAGATAACTACAAGTGTGCTGGCTGGTGCCCTTTATCGGGCAGGGATGGTCACCGCCCTGAAAGCCGCAGTGGAAAGAACCACAGTACACAGTGTCTGTGTGCTTTTTTTTCTTTTTCTAAACTGGGGCAGAAGCAAAGCCACAGGGTGCGTGTGGAGGTCAAGGGACAACTTGCCAGAGCCAGTTTTTTCCTTCTACCTTATAGGTCTTGGGGATCAAACTTAGATCATCCAGCTAGGCAACTGGCCTTTATCAACCGAGCCATCCCCCCACTCTACCATCGCTGTGTCTGTGACATCTTTGCTGGACACTTAAGGGCACCCCATCTCAGGGCAGGAATCCGAAAACTGTGACCTCTGCTTTTGTATGGAATGCACACAAAAGTTTTTGTATTGATCAAAGAAGTGTAAGATTCTAGGAGCTCAATTTTCAATGTCCCTAAGCAAAGACACCGCCACTTCCACGTCTTTGTAGCTGCCTGCGATTTCTTCTGTGCAGCACAGGACTAAGATCTCAGGGCCTGCAAAGTTTCACCGTGTGGAAGTGGCCTTGACATTTTCCCAGCTCCTGGGCCTCAGCTCTCCAGAAGATTTTGGTCAGCCGGGAGACGACAGCCAAGAGTAACAAAGCAAGCCCAGGCTCACCGCGCAAGCGCACACAGTGCCAGGAAGGCGGGAGGAGTCCTCTCGCTCCACGCTCCACGCTTGGTGGAGCAAGCTACTCACCTGTCTTCTTTGGAGCCTCCCTTCCCCTAGCTGGCCCTGAAGCTGAGAGATGAACAGAGGGGAGGGACAGACAGAAGCATCGGGGGCTCCTCCCGAGGTCTTTAGGGGCTAAAGATGAAGATGCAGCATCATTTGTGGAGTGAGGTGGCACCTCCGGCCTCAGGAATGTACACAGAGTTCACGGAGCTCTGTTCCCGGCCAGCCGCCGGCTCCACGGTACTAGTCTTACACTTCGAGGGGAGCCCTGGGGCGCTCCTGTCCTAGCTGCGCCAGATGCTGTAATGGGAAGGCCCAGGACGCAGTGGTTCCCCATTTCAAAACAAGGAAAATGAACTCTTTAGAATATTTTCATCATCCCAGAGAGAACAATCTATCCATTGCCAGTCATACCTACTCTTTCTTCATGGTGCCCTGGAAGTCATGTATCTATTGTTTGTCTGTGTAGACCTCTGCATTCTAGAAACTAGTGTTTGTTTTACTTAGTTACAGCATAACCTCACTTGGGAAGTCACTGTGTAGCCCAAGCTGCTGTGGAACAGGCATCAACTCTCACACCCAGCTTAGTCATTTTATGGATCATAGACTATGTGGTCTTTTATATGTCTTTTTTCACTTAGCATATTTTACTTTTTATTACTATTATTACTATTAGAGTTTTTGTTTTGTTTTGTTTTGTTTTGAGACAAATGTTGCAGGTCCCCTAGTGGCTGCAGCAGACAGCTGGTCCCAGGCAGGGATTGCACAGTTCCCCAAGTGGCTGTACCAGGGTCCCAGTCCCAGGCAGGGAGCTGCACGGTGGGTGAGAGACCTCGATGGGGGAGTCAGTTCCACAAGGAGAGACAGATGGGCATGCCACGAGACCACACCACAGGTCTCCAAAGGCGGCTGGTCCTGGGCAGGGAGCCATGCCACAGGGGAGAGACAGAGACATGAATAGGCTTGCCATGCAGAGTGAGGTTGGATATTTATTTACTGGGTTATGGAGGGGAAAGGGGAGAAGAGCAGAAAGAAAGGCAGAGAGAGAGAGAGAGAGAGAGAGAGAGAGAGAGAGAGAAGGGGGAAGGGGAGAAGTGGGGAGAAGGGAGAGACAGAACCTGCTTCTTCAAGAAAGATGGAAAGGGAGAGACTCAGGCTGGAAGCTGAAACTCAGCTTGCTTCAGTGGACAGGGACAGGGGAGGGAGTGGGCGTGGCTTGTCTCTTAAAGGGACAGAGCAGACCATTACAGTTTCTCTGTGTAGCCCTGGCTGTCCTGGAATCACAGATGCCTCTACCTCCTGAGTGCTGGGATCAAAGGCAAGCACGTGCCACCCCTGCCTGGTTTCACTTAGCGTATTTTAGATTGATGTATCCATGTTTCATTCCACTTTATAGATGAATGTATTCCAGTGTGTGTATGTGGTCTTTGAGACAGGATCTCAAGTAGCCCAGGCTGTCCTTGAACTTACTATATGGTGGACTTGAGCAGGACCTTAAACTTCTGATCCTCCTGCTTCCACTTCCCGAGTACTGGGATTACAGGCACAAACCACCCTGCCCCAGCAAGGCCTTTGTGCGTGCCAGGTGGGCA